TGCGTACAACAGCAAAAATCACATTAATTGTTCAAAAGCATGCCAAATGCAAATTTTTACCTTTCAGTAAAAAGTTGTTTGTATCATTGAAAGCTTGGTCACTGTGTTTTCCTTTTAAGATAAAAGATGTTAATGTAGGAGTTGTTTTTTCTAAACTAAAACCTCAGTGTTCAGGTTCAATTGCCCTGTTGGCACCTTGCAATAAATAAGTGGGTTTTGGGTTGCAGTTTGGGCACTCGGTCTCTAAAAGGTTCGCCATCACTGCACTAGAGTGATAGATAGGTAAATCCTGGTTAAATATTGGAGAAAAACTTTATCCCATGGTGAATGCTTGGAGCACGGACCTAATGTCGAGAAGAGTGTTGAGATCTCCAGGGTTCATGTAAAGGTTGGACCTCCATCTTTTGGGGTGTGTGTGTGATGCAATTTGGAGTGCTTCTCAGATGGCCTGATGACTTCTTGATACAGGTAGACTTACAACCACCATCGAGCCCAGAACTTTGGTTGCTAAGCGAGGCAGTTAAGTGAATTTTGCCCCCGTTTTTACAATCTTTCTTGACGCAGTTGTGAAGTGAGTCACTGCAGTTGTGAAGCTAGTAACCTGGTTGTTAAGTGAAACTGGCCTCTCCCATTGACTTTGTTCGTCAGGTCGCAAAAGACGGTCACATGATCCCGGGACACTGCGACCGTCATAAATAGGAACCGCTTGCCGAGCCTCTGAATTTCGGTCCTGTGACCACGGGGAGGCTGCAGCAATAGTGAAGTGTGAAAACCTGTCCTACATCACTTTTTCCAGTGCCCTTGTAACTCTGAATGGTCGCTAAATGAACTATTGTAAGTCAAGGGTGCAACAGCAGCCAAAAAAGCTAACACAATCCTGGGTTGTTTAAAGAGAGGCATAGAATCAAGATCACATGAAGTATGATAAGATAAGATAAGATAAGATAAGATAATCTTTATTGTCATTTTTATACTGTGGGCCACACCTGGAATACTGCAGCCAATTTTGGTCACCATATCACAAAAAAGATGTTGAGAGTTTGGAAAAAAATCAGAGAAAAGCAACTAAGATGATCAAAGGCCTGGAGACTAAAAGAACAGCTGCAGGATTTGGGAATGGCCAGTCTAGAGAAAAGAAGAAATAGGGGAGACATGATAGCAGTGTTTCAGTATTTGAGGGGCTGCCACAAAGAAGAGGAGGTCAAACTATTCACCAAAGCACCAGAGGGATGGAGAAGAAACAATGGTTGGAAACTGATCAAAGAGAGAAGCAACCTGGAATTAAGGAGAAACTTCCTGGCAGTGAGGACAATCAACCAGTGGAACAGTTTGCCTCCAGAAATCGCGAGTGCTCCATCACTGGAGGTTTTTAAGAAAAGACAATCACCTGTCTGAGATGGTGTGTGTGTGGGGGGAGGGCTGGACTAGAAGACCTCCAAGGTCCCTTCCAGCTTCTATTCTATTCTATTCTATTCTATTCTATTCTATTCTATTCTATTCTATTCTATTCTATTCTATTCTATTCATCCCATCCTATATTCTATTCTATTCTATTCTATTCTATTCTATTCTATTCTATTCTATTCTATTCTATTCATCCCATCCTATATTCTATTCTATTCTATTCTATTCTATTCTATTCTATTCTATTCTATTCTATTCTATTCTATTCCTTTCTCTATTCTATTCTATTCTATTCTATTCTATTCTATTCTATTCTATTCTATTCTATTCATCCCATCCTATATTCTATTCTATTCTATTCTATTCTATTCTATTCTATTCTATTCTATTCTATTCTATTCTATTCTATTCCTTTCTCCTATTCTATTCTATTCTATTCTATTCTATTCTTATTCTATTCTTATTCTATTCTATTCTATTCTATTCTATTCTATTCTATTCTATTCTATTCTATTCTATTCTATTCTATTCTATTCCTTTCTCTAGTCTATTCCTTTCTCTATTCTTTTCTATTCTATTCTATTCTATTCTATTCTATTCTATTCTATTCTATTCTATTCTATTCTATTCTATTCTTATTCTATTCTATTCTATTCTATTCTATTCTATTCTATTCTATTCTATTCCTTTCTCTAGTCTATTCCTTTCTCTATTCTATTCTATTCTATTCTATTCTATTCTATTCTATTCTATTCTGGACTACCCCTACTCTAGTTTCCACGATTCTTAACTTAGAAGTTGAAAGTCTGTCGGTCTGTCTCTTTCATTTTTATTAGTTTGAGGACTAGCTGCACATGCACACAGAGACACAGACTGAACCCAGTTAGGGAGCTGAGTCTCACCTGTTTTTGAAGCTATTCCACATCCATCCATGGAGTCCAATCTGGGCCTCCAAAGTGCTGCGAAGGGAAAGGTTTTTTTTTTCTCCACCCAAATCCCGATTACGCCCCAACCATCACGTCTGTTTGAAAGGGAGATTCAAAAGGAGTAGCTTGTCATCATCTCCTGCCTCTAAAAAAAGAAAAAGAACGTCTAATTAACACCGCCTGTCAGCCTGGTTCTTAATTGCCCTGTTTTGCAGACGTTGAAAAACTCAACCTACGCCCCTGTCTTGGTTTGAAAAAAAGAATCTTGGTGTTTTGTAGACAGACACAAAAAAGAAAACAACACCCCCCCTCAAAAAAAAAAAAAAAAAAACCCTGGTAGCCACAGCTAGGGAATTGAAAGGCAGGGCAGAAGAGTTTTGTAAGAGCTCTCCAAAATCTGAAATTAATTTATCCGCATTATGAGCCACCGGCAGTAGCCGAGAGCTAGCTAGACCACCGGGGCCAAGTCAGGGGAAAAAAAATAAAACTCTCCTGCTGGCTGGCAAAAAAAAAAATGTCCTTTTTGTTAGTAAGAGATGAGTTCTTTGACATTGAAAAGATAAATTTATGGCCCCCATTACTCAGTGGATATGACTTGTAAGTACAAGTTTTTGCAGTTGTAGATCATGAATGGGAGGGTGGCGGTGAAATATGGCTTCCCTTGATTGGAGCTGTTGGGAAAATACACACATATCCACACTAGGAGAAGCCCGAATGTAATGTGGTGGATAATATTTATGGGGGCTGTATTGATTGTCTCTCCCCTCCAGTTTTCACAGCTGCTTTGTCTCGTGCTCTGTTCTGTTTTCCAAAATCAAACAGGCACATTTTTTAAAAAAATTATAATATACAAGTGGTTAAGAGTTGAACTGGAATAAACTGGGCCAGGAAAATGTGGATTAGTGCGGGATAAAGTGGAATTTCAACTGTTGGGAAAGTGAGGGGAGGTGGGAGGGATAATGAGTGGGCGTGGCCGTGCCATGCAGGTGGGTGGGGCCAGGGTGCTCCGGTGGCTGCAAAGGTGAGGGTGTCAGGTGAGGGAGCCTGAGTGGGTGGGGCTTTGCTGTGCAGGTGGATGGGGCCAGGATCTGCATGCCAACATAATAATAATAATAATAATAATAATAATAATAATAATAATAATAATAATAATAATAATAGAAGGGACCTTGGAGGTCATCTAGTCCAACCCTCTGCTCAGGCAGGAAACCCTATACTATTTCAGACAAATGGCTGTCCAGTCTCTTCTTAAAAACTTCCAGTGTTGGAGCATTCACCTCTTCTGGAGGCAGGTTGTTCCACTGGTTAATTGTTCGTTCCACTGGTTACCAGTCACCAAGCACCCCACAGATCAACCTTGAGCTATAGAGATTTTCTTCTGTTGGAAGAATTTCTCCTTTTACCATTTAGGTTGGGGATCATGGGAATTCTAGCTGTCCAACACCTCTGGAATGCACCCCAACTGGAAATGCCCTAATTGGAAAACCTGTTTCTCCTCAAATAACCGCGCACGTTTGGCCTCTTGCTGTCCAAAGTGTTAATTTTGGCTCCTTATGATCTTTAGGATCCAGGGCTTTATTTACAGAATTAAAAAGCAAATCCTTTTCCAATTAGGAAATGATGAATCGCCGGCCTGTGAAATTCTACCAAAGATGCTGTGGGAATTTTCGTTGCCGAGTTAGCCAAAAGCCCAATGGCGCTTTCCAAAATTTGCTGCCTTAATTTTCCACCTGGAAGATGCAGGGGAAAAAAAAAAAACCCATCTGGAGGTGTCCTTTCCAAAATCTTGCTTCAGGTCAAACGTTAAAACAGAGGAAAAAGCTGAAGGGAGGCATCAGGCACGGGGCCTACCCATTTTAGTCATCTGAACATGGACGGAGAGATTAGAATGCTGCCTATTTATTGATTTGAATAAATTTATTAGCCACCCATTAAGCCACAAGGCAACTCTATACGGACAGTCCTCAACTAATGACTGCAATCAATCCAGGATTACAGTTATAAGTCATGACAGTCAGTAAGTGGGTCACCAGAGGAGTGAATTTACCACTAAGCTAAGCAGAGTCGTTAAGTGAATCCATGGTTTGCTCTGAGCCAGTTGTGCCGAAAACTGGAAATAAATACCGGTGTCCATCAAAAATATTGTAAATAGCAGTCATGTGATTGCAGGAGGCTGAAAACAGTCTTAAATGCAGCCTGGCTGCTTGAGCACCCAAAATACGGTCATGTGACCATGGATGGGTGGACGGCCATCAGAACTTCCGTTATAAGTATCTTTTGGGTGGTCCGTCGTAACCTAGGTTGCTATAAGCAACCGGTTGTAAGTCAAGGACTATGTGTAGAGACCCAGCAATCCCAGGAGAAAAAAATGGCTTTGATGAGTAAAGAAAATGGGGGTTTATATCTATTGCCAAAGGTGCGATTGTGATGATTTATGAACATTGCATGTGGCCAGAATGAGTTGTTCCTTCGAAGTCCAGCTTGGCCAGAGAAATAATGGGAATATGTGTCTAAACAACAAAAGAACATTTCATCCAGCGGCAAAACAGGCTTCTTGTAAAAACTAAGTTGTTTGCCTTAGTTTGCTGTCTGCTTTTGCAGCTGGTTCCGCTCCTCACAGAGTTAATTATTAGCCTTTATTTTTTTTTCTTTCCTTTTTCCCTTCTTCTTTGTACAGTAAGCTGATCTCTCCGGCTTGCTTTAAAATAATAATAATAAATAAACCCTGAACAGGGCGAATTATGTCTTGCAAAATCTCTCAGCCTCTTTGGAAGGACCCTGGAGCCACGGCCAGCATAGACACACCAAAGTGTGGAAGTTTTGTTTTCAGAGTGAGTAAGATATCTTGAGAAGACCTCGCGGGTTCAGATTCGGGGAGACATTTTGCTGAAAGGCTGTCTGTTTTAAACAAACAACCAATTAGCCAAGTTCGGGCAGGCCACAAATGGTAGCGGGGATGTGCTGGAGGGTAGAAAGTGCAGCAGCTTTTAAGTCAGGAGTATTTCAAATTCAGATTTACGGCTGGTCCTCAACTTACGATGGCAACTGGGACCAGAATTTCCATTGCTAAACAAGGCGGCTGTTGAGTCGTGCTGGATTTTGCGACCTTTTTTTGGCCAGGTTGTTGAGCGAAACAATGCAGTTGTTAAGTGAACCGCATAGCTGTTAAACCAAATCTGGGTTCCCCCATTGACTTTGCTCGTCGCACTTTTATAAAATAAAGAATGTGTAGTCAGAGGAAGGAACTTCTTTTTTAACAAGATGGGTTTCCCGATGCCAAAGAATCTAAGCTTTCCGGAGCAGTTGTATCATTTAAAATTAAATTTCACAGTGCCTTGATAGGGATGTTCCGGCCTTGAATTTTAGGGAGGCCCACAGGAGGATCACTCCATAAAATGCTCATAGGAAAAAAGTTTCTATGGCTTTGCTTGCAGATCAATCATTTGAAATTGGGCACGTTTTTTACACTGGGAGTAAATCCTTAAAAAATAGCTAAATATATTCATCAAGGCCAATATACCAATTTTACAGATGCAAAATATTTATAAAGCCCAGCGGCACCTTGTGGTCACCAATGGTATAACCCCAGACAGATAAATCGATTCAGATTAGATTTTTTTAAAAAAATTGTTTTATTCAAATACAAATAATACAAACATAACACATATAAATCTAAATAAAAAACAGTACTAAAATACAAATACTACAGTGCACCCATACCCCTGGAGACCATTTTTATTACCTGTATTTCTTCTTGTATAACAACTAACAATATACAATATATTTCAACTGTGCCTTTATCCCCTCCAAAACAGCATGTATTCTTGAGCAGGTTTATTTCCTTTGCCTTCCACCAAGACTGTTTTTATAAAGTCATAGATTAGATAACCTTTGTTGTCATTTTTTTCCCCCTGCGGGCACAACGGCACACACATAACACGCATTTAAAACATACTATATACAACATATGTATAGACCTACACCTTTACATATAAGTAACCTATCAATATTAATCACTGTCCATCCATTTATAACCTAAATACCACTTTCCATTGCTGAGTGTGGCGTTTGTACTTTTTTCACTGCCGTTGTAAGTTCAAATGGTCACTAAGCAAACAGCTGAAGTCAAAGCCTCCCTGTAATTCCTTTTCTTTAACCCAGGCTGATGTTGTCTGTTCAGAGACGGGAAAAAAATGATTTTATTCATGACTTGAGACATTTCAGCAGTTTGAAACGTTGTGCTGACATATAGAAATATTGTGATTTTTCTCCCTTTCCCATCCAGTCTCCGGGTTTGTTATTCATGTGCAGTATATAAATGTTATTGCTGAGATGGAGGATATCTCGCTCAACCCTTGGATAAAAACACAGGTGCAAAATTCATCCGAAATTAACGTCAAGCTTCATTAACCCCTGCAGTGTAGTGTGTTACTGTGTTTATTTAACAGCCCAGTTTTCCCCAAAAGTATTTTTAAAGAATAGGGTGGTCCTCGGGATACATTGGTAAAGAATGACAAGTTTCTCCTTAGTTCTAGGTTGCTTCTCTCTTTGGTTAGTTTCCATCCGTTGCTTCTTGTCCTGCCTTCAGGTGCTTTTGAGAATAGCTTGACTCCCTCTTCTTTGGGGCAGCCCCTGAGATATTGGAACACTGCTATCATGTCCCCCCTCATCCTTCTCTTCATTAAACTAGACATCCCCAATTCCAGCAACCGTTCCCGGGTTGGACTAGAAGATCTCCAAAGTCCCTTCCATCTCCATTGTTCTATGACTCTATCCTATTAAATCTCTTAAATTCAGAGGCTTTGTGTCAGCTAGTTGGCCATCAAACCTTCTTTAGATGTTCCTCAGTGACAATGAGCAAGGGAGAAATTATATGTGAATCATTTTCTGAAGGTTACGTTTTGAAGAATCCGTGAGTTTCTGCCAGAACACTTTTATGTTCAAAAGATTGTCCTCTGTGAGTTGTCTTCTCCTAGGATCTAGGAGCTACATTAATGCAAGATCGGAAGACGTGGAGAGATCCAGCCCATAGAATCACCCAAAGTTGGACACGTCTTAATGGATAACATTGTCCTCCTGTCATGGTTTCAATAGATGAAACCAGCCAAAAGAACTTCAATGCAAGAATGTCAACATTGTGACACCTCCTCATCGTGAGCTACATGGTCAACATCATCACCTTCTCTTCTTCCCAAGTTATAAGCTGCTCTTCTCAAAATCTCATTTCTCAATAAGGGTGGTTGAAAGTTGGATGACCAGAACCATCTTGAGGACTCACCAAAGTTGCAACTTGTCCGCCTTATCTTAGATACTCATCCTCCATAGACCAAGATGTAGCCTTCTCACAGCGCAGTGGTAGCAACCCCCCACCATCTAAAGACAGATGTTGCTTTCACAGCAGCAGAAGTAGGAACTCTTAGCCGTGGATTTTATGGAGAATTCTTTTTTAAGAGAAAGAAATCTCCACCTTGCAGTTAAGCCAACGGCTTTCCCATAATAGGCGCTCTTAATAAATCACTCCATAACTGGTAGGAGGAAGCACCATCCAGACAGGAAAGCATCTCTATTCCTAAACTTAAGAAAACTAAAATGCTTCAAATATTCCTGAACCTATAATGTTGCAAATTTACAGCGAGGCACCTGAGGATTTTATTTTTTAAACCAACAGGGATTTTAAAAAAGTTTTGCAACTCTAGAAGCTAAACTTTCATTCACCAAAAGGAAGAGAGAGGAACAGCAGGAAACTTTTACAGAAAAGTCAGTCTCCCATCTGACCCGAACTTCACATCACAGCCCTTCCGACATGGTTTTTTTTTTTTTTTTTTTTGCCCTCCTCAAAGCTCAAGGAAACCAGATCTTCAAAACATCCACTGTGATTTTCTCCCCAAAATCAGAAACAGATGAGAGATGCTATCTTTAAAGGATAAGGCCATTTCCTTGTATCTCTAGATGTTGATAAGAGAGGATGTTAATTCAGTTTCCATGCCTGCTCTCAGCATTTCAAATTACTTTGGGGCAGAAAAAAAATCAGGAAAAAACAGAAAAATCAGGAGTTTGCAAGGATCAGAGCATGTTCAGTGGATAAGTGCTTTGCCCAAAGGTTTTTACTGTTAGATGATATAGATATATAGAAAGATAGCTATAGGAGAGGGAGGGGGAGAGAATGTTTGATCATGTGAGGTACTAATACCACTCTATAAAGCCTTAGTAAGACCCCACCTAGAATACTGCCACCAGTTTTGGTCACCACACTACAAACAAGATGTCAAAACTCTAGAAAAAGTGCAGAGAAGAGCAACAAAGATGATTAGAGGCCTGGAGGCTAAAACATATGAAGAACGGTTGCAGGAACTGGGCATGGCTGGTCTAGTGAAGAGAAGGACCAGGGGAGACCTGATAGCAGTGCTTCAGTATTGGAGGGGCTTCCACAGAGAGGAGGGGGTCAACCTATTTTCCAAAGCACCAGAAAGCCAGACAAGGAATAGTGGATGGAATCTGATCAAAGAGAGATTCAGCCTAGAAATAAGGAGACATTTCCTGACAGTGGGAACAATCAACCAATGGAACAGAAGTTGCCTTCAGAAGTTGTGGGAGCTTCATCACTGGAGAGACTGGATTCCCATCTGTCAGAAATTGTGTAGGGTCTCCTGTTTGGGGCAGGGGGTTGGACTAGATGACCTACAAGATCCCTTCCAACTATTCTATTCTATTCTATTCTATTCTATTCTATTCTATTCTATTCTATTCTATCCTATCCTATCCTATCCTATCCTATCCTATCCTATCCTATCCTATCCTATTCTCTATTCATGTTCATTCTGAATTCTATTCTATTCTCTATTCCTATTCATTCTGAATTCTATTCTATTCTATTCTATTCTATTCTATTCTATTCTATTCTATTCTATTCTATTCTACCCTATCCTATTCTCTATTCATATTCATTCTGAATTCTATTCTATTCTATTCTCTATTCCTATTCATTCTGAATTCTATTCTATTCTATTCTATTCTATTCTATTCTACCCTATCCTATTCTCTATTCATATTCATTCTGAATTCTATTCTATTCTATTCTCTATTCCTATTCATTCTGAATTCTATTCTATTCTATTCTATTCTATTCTATTCTATTCTATTCTATTCTATTCTATTCTATCCTATTCTCTATTCATATTCATTCTGAATTCTATTCTATTCTATTCTCTATTCCTATTCATTCTGAATTCTATTCTATTCTATAGTTCTGTTCTGTTCTATTCTATTCTATTCTATTCTATTCTATTCTATTCTATTCTATTCTATTCTATTCTATTCTATTCTATTCTATTCTATTCTATTCCATTCTATTCTATTCCATTCCATTCCATTCCATTCCTATTCTTACACCTATTTCTGGATTATAGATACAAAACAAATTGCAAAATAAGGAACTCTCCATCATTCTGCCATCTTGTGCTTCCAGTCCCGTCTGCGGATTTACGCCACGAATCTGAGGTCGCCGTTCCTCTTTCAACAGCTGCAGAGATTGTTTTGGCGTCCTCCCCGGCCATCCAGCAATTCCCACCATTTCCCAGAACTAAGGCGAGCCCGGCGGTCCCTTGGAAGCAAGGAAAACAAACGCCCCTTGAAATGCAGAGCTGTTGGGTCTCGCCTGGGCATCCCGGCCTCCCTCTCAACTTTCTACTGTGTTGCGCTTCTCAATGACATCGATTCAGTGGCTGCCGGTGGAGTGTGACCGTTGTGCATCTGGACGAGTGGTTAAAGCAACAGCTGGTGGACCGGGTGACCTGAACCACTAGAGTAAATATAAGGGGTTCTATGTGCTGGGAAGCCTGATTAAATAAACCCAGACATTTCAGAAAACAGAGCGGGGTCATTTGGCAAAAGAATGGCCCTTAAATCTATTTGCCCACTTTTTCTGTTTTTCCTTAGCGAAGGCAAAGCACTTTGGGGTCATCGCTGAGAAAAGGACACCAAGATGTTTTTTTAAAGACACCAAGAGTGGAGCCTGGCTTTGTTTTTTCAACCATTTTCCTTCCAGAGAATTGAGGTCTGTGTAAATTTGAACAAGGAAGGTGTTGACGTTCTGGAATCAACACCCAAGCTGGAATCTGGTTATTCATAGACTAGCAAACCCATTACACCTTTCCTGGTCATATCAAACTGAGGAATACCTGGAGCTTCAGAATTAAAATTACAGGATAAGAATGGGAAGGGACTTTGGAGGTCTTCTAGTCCAACCCCCTGCTCAAGAAGGACTCCAGTCTCTTCTCGAAAACGTCCAGTGATGGAGCACTCACAACTTTAGTAGAAGAGTCTACTGATTGATTGTACTCAGAAAATTTCTCTTAAGTTCTAGGTCAGTGGTTCTCAACCTTTCTAATGCCACGACCCCATAATACAGTTCCCGATGTTGTGGTGACCCCCAACCACTTATACATCACCGGGTGCCAGGGGTGTGGCCAAAGAAAAGGGGGAAAAAATGGCGGACAGCCTTGTTTGGCAACCCCCGTGAAATGGTTGTTTGACCCCAAATGGGGTCCCGACCCACAGGTTGAGAACCACTGTTCTAGGTAGATCTCTTCTTGATAAATTTCCATCTATTGCTTCTTGTTGTTAAGGCTGCATCTCATGTATCCAGGCTTCATGAGCTGGCAGCCAGACATTAGCATGTGTGGGGGAGAATGTCTAGGGCAGGGGTCAAGCCCTGGTCCGTGGACCAATACTGGTCCGCATAAACAAGCAAAGCCCCATCCGTGGGATGCAGGCAGCACACAAAACCACACACTCTCTGGTCCACGGAAAAACCTTTTTCCATGGAACCAGTTCCTGCTGCCCCAAAGATTGGGGACCCCTGCTCTAGGGAACTTTGGATGAAGGACCGTCTGGGGCCTGTGGACTAAGTACAGGTAGTCCTTGTCTTATGACGATTGAGCCCCAAATTTCTGTTGTTGAGACATTTGTTTAAGTGAGTTGTTGCTCCGTTTTACAACTTTTCTTGCCACCGTTGTGTTGAAGGAAAAGTCTTCATCAGAGTCCAGTCCAAGTCAGGAATAAACAACATGATGACTGCTTTAGAAAGATGGTTGCAGTTTATTGAAGAGGAGAGCCAGACAGAAAGATGGCTCTGGAAGAAAAGAGAGAGAGAGAGCACATGTAGGGAGTGGGTTTTTATACCTTCTGGGGCTTTTGTTTGGAGTTGTTTCCTGTTCCTGTTTAAGGCTTTGTATTTCCTGTGTCAGGTACTTTGACCTGAGTCTGAATGTACTCCTTTGGCACCTGTGAGTTAATCCTATTATGTGTTGTGTTAAGAGTTTGGGTGGGGTATGTAGATTTTAGGTGTCTTTGTCTTCCTAAGCCTCTAGCTCAGTGGTTCTCAACCTGTGGGTCGGGACCCCATTTGGGGTCGAACGACCATTTCACGGGGGTCGCCAAACAAGGCTGTCTGCCATTTTTTCCCCCTTTTCTTTGGCCACGCCCCTGGCACCCGGTGATGTATAAGTGGTTGGGGGTCACCACAACATGGGGAACTGTATTATGGGGTCGCGGCATTAGAAAGGTTGAGAACCACTGCTTTAGCTGGAGGGCTCCAACCTTCCTGAATGGATTATTACATCTGCATTTCTACAGAGCTGGTTTCTGCTTGGGGAAGGGAGACTTGGGGCTATTAAGGAAAAAACTGGGCATGCTTTTCTGCCTCTTTAAGATCCTTTGAGGAAATATAATATTCTGCCCTTTTAATATTTCCTCCTCTGGAGGTAGGGCTGACTTCCCACAGTTGTTAAGTGAATTCTCCAGTTGTTAACCTGGTTGTTAAGTGAATCTGGCTTCCCCTTTGACTCTGCTTGTCGGAAGGTCGCCAAAGGGGATCCCATGACACTGAGACCGTCATAAATGCGAGTCAGTTGCCAAGCGTCTATGAATTTTGATCCCGTGATCACAGAGATTGCCGCAACAGTCGTTAAGCGTGAAAAATGGTCCTAAGTCACTTTTTTTCAGTGCCGTTGTAACTGCGAGCGGTCACTAAATGAACTGTTGTTAAGCCGAGGACCACCTGTAGCACAGAAAGCAGACTCTGGAGGACACCAGAACAGGGAAGATCCTTGACCGACGACCACGATTGAGCCCCAAAATTTCTGTCGCTAAACGAGACAGTTGTTAAATGACTCTTGCCCCATTTTACAACCTTCCTTGCCACAGTTGTTCCCAGCAGTTGTTAAGTGATTCTGGTTTCCCCATTGATTTTGCTTATTGGGTCACAAAAGGGAACCGTTTCACTTAATGACCCCGTCGTAAGTATGAGTCAGTTGCCAAGTCGCTGGTTTGATCACATGACCACAGGGGTCAAAGGTCGTTAAGTGTGAAAAACGGTCTTTTTTTTCCCAGTGCTGTGCAAAAGGTCACTAAAAGAGCCGGTGTAAGTCGAGGACTACCAGTATTTCCCAGCCCTAGCTCGGAACCATGACACGTGAAACGGCCCCGGGGTTCCCCTCTCGCCGCCGCCGCCGCCCTCCCTCAGCTCCATCCCGCCAGGGAAGCTGGCTGCGGCCCTTAGGCCTTTGGCGCCGCTGCGGAATATCTCGCGAGATTCGGCTGCTTCCCGAGAGTTCGCCGCTCTCACGCCCCAAAGCTTTCTTAAACCAGGGGTGGGGGAATGGCGGCGCTTTTATGACTTGCGGACTTCAACTCCCAGAATTCCTGAGCCAGCCAAGTCATAAAAGGGCCGTCATTCCCCACCACACCTTTGCCTTCAACCAATCAGATTTCTATGCTTGGGTCTCGCTACCACGCGACCACCAATGGAGGAGCAGATTTCTATTCCTCTGCCCCCCCCCCCCGCTGTCTGTATTCACCCCTCCTCTCCACGCCATCTGTCCATTAGCTAATGCTCTGCCCCGGCTTTGCTCTCTCTTCTCCGATTGGATGAAATGACTCCTTTCATCACTCACGGCCACCCAGCTTCTCATCCTTCCCTCGGCCGCCTCGCGGGCAGCCAATGGTAAGCGAAGAGCCCCCCCCCCTCCGTCCCGCCCCACACATTGCCTGAACTCCGCTGCTGAGCTCCGCCTTTTCCCCCCCGTATCTTCTGATTGGCTTAGAGATGGGGGGCGGGGTTCCTCCGCCTCCTCCTCCTCCGCCAGGCGTATGCGCAATAGGGCTCGTCCAGGGACTGGCGATGCCCCCGGCGGGATGTCTCCGGTTTACTCCAAGCTCGATTCGGCGCCGCTGTCGCGGAAGCTGCTCACCCGCTACCTCCTCCTCCTCCGCCTCTATCCGGTGCTCACCAAAGCCGCCACCAGGTGCGTGCGCCTCTCCGCCCTTCCCGACGCGCTTTCAGAATCGGAGCTGGGAGGGGGTCCCTAGAGGTCATCTAGTCCAGCCCCCCCCCCCCGCTCAAGCAGGAGACCCTATACCAGGGGTAGGCAACCTCGGCTCTTTTATGACTCGTGGACTTCAACTCCCAGAATTCCTGAGCCAGCCAAGCTGGCTCAGGAATTCTGGGAGTTGAAGTCCACGAGTCATAAAAGAGCCGAGGTTGCCTACCCCTGCCCTATACCATTCCAGACGAATAACTCTCCAGTCTCTCCAGTTTTGGAGAGAGAAAAAATATTGTATGTAACAGAATAACAGAATTGGAAGGGACCTTGGAGGTCATCTAGTCCAGCCCCACCCGCTCAAGCAGGAGACCCTGTACCATTCCAGACAAATAACTATGCAGTCTCTTCTTAAAAATAACCTTCCCTTTTTCTCTCCTCTCCCTTCTCAGTAGTTTTGGAGAGAGAAAAAAATATTGTATGTAACAGAATAGCAGAGTTAGAAGGGACCTTGGAGGTCATCTAGTCCAGCCCAACCTGCTCAAGCAGGAGACCCTAGACCATTCCTGACAAATGGCTGGCCAGTCTCTTCTTAAAAATAACCTTCCCTTTTTCTCTCCTCTCCCTTCTCAGTAGTTTTGGAGGAAAGAAAATACTGTATGTAACAGAATAGCAGAGTTGGAAGGGACCTTGGAGGTCATCTAGTCCAGCCCCCCCTGCTCAAGCAGGAGACTTTATACCATTCCAGACAAATAACTATCCAGTCTCTTCTTAAAAATAAACTTCCCTTTTTCTCTCCCCTCCCTTCTCAGTAGTTTTGGAGAGAGAAAAAATATTGTATGTAACAGAATAGCAGAGTTGGAAGGGACCTTGGAGGTCATCTAGTCCAGCCCCACAAGCCGGAGACCCTGTACCATTTCATTGAAGTGGCTGTCCAGTCTTTTTTTTTGAAACCCTCCCTCCCCCCCCCAAAAAAATGATGAAGCACCCTCAATTTCTGGGAGCAAGCTGTCCCACTAATTAATTGTTCTCACTCTGAATATCTCTCTCCCAGGTATCTCTTTCAAGGTCCACAAATTCAATCAATCAGAATAGAGCTGGAAGGCACCTTGGAGGTCATTTAGTCCAACCCCCTGCTCAAGCAGGAGACCCTATACCAGGGGTAGGCAACCTTGGCTCTTTTATGACATGGCTGGCTCAGGAATTCTGGGAGTTGAAGTCCACGAGTCATAAAAGAGCCAAGGTTGCCTACCCCTGCCCTATACAAATAGTTGTCCAATCTCTTCTTAAAAACCTCCAGTGACAGAGCACCCACAACGTCTGAAGGCAATGTTGTCCCCACTGGTTAATTGTCTTCACTGTTAGGAAATTTCTCCTTAATTCCAGGTGGCTTCTCTCCTTTAGTTCCTATCCATTGTTTCTTGTCTTGCCTTCAGGGGCTTTGGAAAATAGGTTGACCCCCCTCCTCTCTATAACAGCCCCTCAAATATTGCAACACTGCTATCATGTCACCCCTGGTCCTTCTCTTCACTAGACTAGACATACCCGATTCCCACAACCGTTCTTCATTTGTTTTACCCTCCAGTCCCCTGATCAAGTCTTTGTTGCTCTTCTCTGCTCTCTTTCTAGAGCAGTGGTTCTCAACCTGTGGGTCGGGACCCCATTTGGGGTCGAATGACCATTTCACGGGGGTCGCCAGACAATGCAGTCCGCCATTTTTTCCCCCTTTTCCTTAGCTGTGCTACTCCCTTTTATTCTATTGGCTTTTGAAAGCCAATAGAAGAAACTCTCTTGAATAGAGTCTAATTCTATTGGCTTTCAAAAGCCAATAGGAATTGTCCAGGCTGTCTCTGCCCTGCTGAGCCCGCCAAAAGTCCCATTCTGCAAACGGTGCTGCACCAGTTGAGTAGTCATCGACTTACAACCAGTTGAATAGTCCTTGACTTACGACCGGTTGGGGGTCGCGGCATTAAAAAGGTTGAGAACCACTGTTCTAGAGTCTCAGCATCTTTTTTTTACATTTTCATATTTTACATCTTTTCTTCCCACAGTGCCTTCCTATCAGCTCTAGGGAGTCTCCTGTCCCAACTAATTGAGAAGACCCAGAAAAAGAGAAGCCTTGACTGGCGGGAACCCCTGCGGTTTGCTGCCTATGGGTAAGATGGGACTGGTGGAAGAAGCTCACCGAAGGGGTGGCCTGAAAAGTCTTGCCTTTCAATGTTGCTGTATCATGCAGTCGTGGGAGTTTTGTCGCCCCTCTTTCTGAGAATGGAAAAGTAGCGTGTTTTCCCAAAAATAAGACCAGCGTCAACGCTGCAAATATTGTATATTCTTGCTTTGACAATATGCAGAACTGTCTGGTGTTTTTGGGGTTAATACAGAGCAGAAGGGGGGTGGGGGTAAAGCCCGGGAAAGAAAGAGGAAGGAAACCTTCGACCTTCACACTAATTGGATAATGTGATATATGACAGCTAATTTAGGGAGGGAACATGCTGATAATTTAACTGCTCAGAGGAAGAGAACTTAGATCTCCGTTATGCCTGTGCCAAGACATTTTGTAACAATAAATGACTTTTAGGAAAATCAATGCCTGGAAGTTCTTTGAAGTGTTTCATTGGCCGGAACCATAACAAACAGGCCTTATTTTTTTTTTTTTTTGTGCCTCCAAAAGAGGCACCAGGTCTTATTTTCAGGGGGTGTCTTACTCACCTTCAGCACCGACAGCCCTGCCCAGCTGGTCTACTTCTCCTGAGGCCAGAAGATCAGCTCCATTCTGCAGCTGCATTCCGGCCTTTCCGGAAGGTCTAGGCCAGGGGTAGGCAACCTTGGCTCTTTTATGACTGGTGGACTTCAACTCCCAGAATTCCTGAGCCAGCCACGCTGAGGGGAAAGGGAGAGGTTTCCAAGCTGAGCCAGGCTGGCTCAGGAATTCTGGGAGTTGAAGTCCACGAGTCGTAAAAGAGCCAAGGTTGCCTACCCCTGATCTGGAGGGTCTCAGCCTAGGCCAGGGGTAGGCAACCTTGGCTCTTTGATGACTCGTGGATTTCAACTCCCAGAATTCCTGAGCCAGCCATGCTGAGGGGAAAGGGAAAGCTATGCTGGCTCGGGAATTCTGGGAGTTGAAGTCCACCAGTCATAAAAGAGCCAAGGTTGCCTACCCCTGTTCTAGGTAGCCGAGTACCGAGCTATGGATTGAATCTATAGTTTGGTCCTCGGCTGCAGAGGTCTTGCAGAACCGAGCTATGCATTGAGTCTATAGCTCGGTTCTCGGCTGCAAACGCCTTCCGGAAAGGCCTGTGACCTAGAAATGCAGGCCTGGCTGCAGAAGACGTTGCAGAAGAAGTAGGCCTGGCTGCAAGGTAAGTGGGTGCAGGGCGCGTGGGGCAGCTCCACTCCCCCACACACGCTGGCTTGATTTTTTGTGCCTTGCCCCAAAACTAGGGTTTATTTGGGGGGGGACACAGGGTACCTGCTTCCCACAGCCTTACTTTTCTGACCAGTAGCCAGCATTTAAGCCAGGTGAGCTAGCCACTCAATAAACTCCCTGTCAGATGTGGGGCTGGTGGGGCTGGTGGCCGGGGCTGGTGGGACCGCAGTTGTCAATGGAGCAGGAGCGAACTGAAACTTGTACCAGCACTGCGGTTGGTCGATCTGAACGGTCATGGACCTTGAACTCTTGGAATTTCCCAATGATGAAGTTAATTACTTACTTGAGGGTTACAGCTTGGGGATTTTTTCGGCTGTCTCAAACAGGCTCTGCCCGGTGGCGAAACGGTTAGAATGCAGGACTGCAGCTACTTCTGCTGTTTGCTGGCTTTTAGCCGTTCACCAGTTCCAGTCTCACTGCCTCAAGGCTGACTCAGCCTTCCGTCCTCCCGAGGTCGGTAAAATGAGGACCCAGATTGTTGGGGGACAAGAGGCTGACTTTGCAAACCGCTTAGAGAGGGCTGTAAAGCACCGTGAAGCAGTATATAAGTCTAAGGGTTATCTCCCTTCCTTCCTTCCTTCCTTCCTTCCTTCCTTCCTTCCTTCCTTCCTTCCTTCCTTCCTTCCTTCCTTCCTTCCTTCCTCCCTCCCTCCCTCCCTCCCTCCCTCCCTCCCTCCCTCCCTTCCTTCCTTCCTTCCTTCCTTCCTTCCTTCCCTTTGCCCACTGCCTGCAGTTCGATCCTAACTGGCTCAAAGTTGGCTCAGCCTTCCATCCTTCCGAGGTTGGTAAAATGAAGACCCACATTGTTGGGGACAATAGGCTGACTCTGTAAACCACTTAGAGAGGGCTGTGAAGCACTGTGAAGCGGTATATAAGTCTAAGGGCTGTTGCTATTATTAATGCCCCTTGTGCCTCCTGTTACACTTCAGAGATTACGGGGAAGAGGAATCGGTTTCTCTCCTGGAATCTTCTGTCAAGGTTGAATTGCTAAAATGCTTGCTAACCTCTGTCCCTGCTCAACTTGCCACAGAAACGGGGAGGGGAAAGGCTGGGAAAGAAATGGGAATTTCAAAAAGCCCGTGGACCATGAGACCCAAGGCCATTGTAAGCAGATGTCTTACAGAGAAGTGGACCGTTCCCATAACGAACAGAAAGGATGTGATTGGGCAACGTGAACACATGATGGGTGGGGGGGGGTTTATGAAAAGCTATCGTTAACTAACCAGATTTTTGCTCAGAAAAGTTAAGAGTGGACACCTTCCATCTGCTGACGAGCCTATGGGGAGCAGGGTGTGTGTGTGTGTGTGTGTGTGTGTGTGTGTCTCAGATTCTGCTTTCATTTCTTCAACATCTTCCACTTCCTCTTGCTTGCTTTTCTCAAGGATGGACCTGTTTGCACAATCTCCATCGCCTGGAAGTGGCCAGCAAATGGCCCTCGCTTACTTCACATATCCGGCATGATGGGGTCCGGTGGAGGGGTTTCACAGGCAGTGAGGCTCCTCCAGTGGACCATGCCTTGACGCTTGCCCCGGTCCCCCCCCTTCTGCCAGAGACCCTCAGATCTGTCCCACTCCTGCCCAGGCCTCCACAGGCCCCCTTGACGCGAACGATGTAGAGTTGGCCATGCCCACCCAATAGGCCACATCCACTCCATCCACACCCACCCAGTAGGCCGCACCCACCCTGGCCACACCGACCCACCCCCCGCCCTCCCCGAGAGCAACCGCAATGCTGATGTGGCCCTCAGTGAAATTGAGTTGGACACCCCTGGGCGAGAGGCTTGGACGACGTCACAGCAGCTCAATAACTGACTGACGCCAAGCCCTGGGATGAGTTGCAGCCTATTTGTGAAGCTTCGTGTCAGAATCCAATTATATTTCATCTCTAGTTATCAAATATAGAAAACCCCAATTCTGCCTTCTCTGGATTCTGCCATAAGAGGGAGAGAAGGGGGAGAACAAAGGGGCTTTATGGCCCTCACTTCCTTCAGTATACTTCTAAGGAACTGAATGTGTGTATTGCAAAAGAACTAACCATAAGAATGGGGCCGTTTTCCTTTCATGTAGTTTCTTTGAAGTCTCCATCCAGCCGGGCAGTAAGGAAAAGGGGGTGGGAGTGTAATGCCTGAGACTGTCGCTGGAAGAAGGGGGGGATTGGGTGGGGGTACTGGGGAACCCCTTAAAACCTCGAATGGGAGAGCTTGGACCCCAAGTCCTGTCTAGCACGCCTGCAACCATTTTCTCTTAATAAAGGATGCCTGTTGGAAGAATTATTCCAAGAGTTCTGTCTTCTTAAGATGCAGAGTGGGCTGGGTCCTTAAACTTCGAAAGACTCCGGCACTGTTTCTTCCATGGTTGCTTTGTAGCTTGCCTACAGACTCGGAGGGAGGGAAGGGGTGAACGGAACGCAGGCCTCAGATGGCGTGAGAACCGGGGTCGTTTGAGAGCTGCTTGCTGAGAACACAAGACCTTCTCTCATAACAAATGTGTAAAGTTTCATTGGACAATGTGACCTGCTGGCTTTAGGGGAGAGGGTACTTTTACGCTTTTGCTATGGTGATTTTGGCGCCAAGTCACCGGAGCTGCTTTTCCTTTCATCTGTGCTGAAATATTTTACTCAATAAAGTTTTGCATTAGAGAGCTGGGCGTCTCAGCTATGCTAGCTGTCAGAATCCAATTATATTTCATCTCTAATTATCAACTATAAAAAAACCCCATTTCTGCCTTATCTGGATTCTGTCATACGATGAAGGGGAAGGGGGGTGAACAAAGGGGCTTTATGGCCCTCACTTCCTTTGGTACACGTCAAAGGGACTGGATGTGTGTATCACCCAAAGGACTAACCATAACAATGGGGCTATTACCTTTCATGTACTCCTCTCTGAAGTCTCCCTCCAGCCGGCAGTAAGGAAAAGGGGGTGGGAGTGTAATGCTGAGACTGTCGCTGGAAGAGGGGGGTGATTGGGTGGGGCTACTGGGGAACTCCTTAAAACCTTGACTGGGAGAGCTTGGACCCCAAGTCCTGTCTAGAACGCCTGCAACCATTTTCTCTTAATAAAGGATGCCTATTGGAAGAACTATTCCAAGAGTTCTGTCTTCTTAAGATGCAAAGTGGGGTGGGTCCTTACACTAGCTTTGTTGTTTCCTCAAGCTGGAACCGTGACGCTATTATTCAAGAATCATCTGTTTTGAGACTGGATTGCACAGTTGGTTAGTCTCGTAGGAGAAGCGGTTGAGATCAAGCCCCACTCACCATTTCTTTCCTTTTGCAGTTTTTTATTCACTGGACCGCTCAGTCATTACTTCTACCTCTACCTGGAACAGCTAATTCCTTCGGAGGCCCCATTTGCACTCGTCAAACGTCTGCTGGTGGACCGTCTCATCGTTTCCCCGGCCTTCCTGGCCCTCTTTTTCCTCGTCATGAACTTTTTGGAGGTAGGGTCTTGCTTAGGGATGATCTGAGGGCAGCCGGTTTAACCCCTTCTCCCTGCTGGAATGCAAATGGGTGGCTGTCCGGCTTCCGCTTGGACACATCCGGTTCTGCTGTCCTTCCTGGGAAGAATGGCTTGGTTTGTTTTTCAGTAGAGGTAGTCCTTGCCTTACCACCACAATTGAGCCCAAAGTTTCTGTGGTTAAATGGGACATTTATTTAGAATGTAAGAGTAGAGTAAGAGTAGAGTAGAGTAGAGTAGAGTAGGAGTAGAGTAGAATTATAGAATAGAATAGAATAGAATAGAATAGAATAGAATAGAATAGAATAGAATAGAATAGAATAGAATATAGGATGGGATGAATGGAATGGAATGGAATGGAATGGAATAGAATGGAATAGAATAGAATACAATAGAATATAGGATGGGATGAATGGAATGGAATAGAATGGAATGGAATAGAATGGAATAGAATAGAATACAATAGAATATAGGATGGGATGAATGGAATGGAATAGAATGGAATAGAATAGAATTAGAATAGAATAGAATTAGAATAGAATAGAATAGAATAGAATAAGAGCAGAATAGAATAGAATAGAATAGAATGGAATAGAATAGAATAAGAACAGAATAGGAACAGAATAGAATAAGAGCAGAAGAGAAGAGACAGATTGTAGAATAGAATATGGAATACGAATAGAATGGAATAGAATAGAATAGAATATGGAATAAGAATAGAATGGAATAGAATAGAATATGGAATAAGAATAGAATAGAAAATAGAATGGAATAGAATAGAATAGAATAGAATATGGAATAAGAATGGAATGGAATGGAATAGAATAGAATAGAATAGAATAGAATAGAATAGAATAGAATAGAATAGGTCCTGCCTGAGCAGGGGGTTGGACCAGATGACCTCCAAGGTCCCTTCCAACTTTATTATTATTATAAAACTGTGTCCCCGATTTAACAGATTTGGGGGTTCCTTTTTTCCTTGCTTCCAAGCGTTGGCAGGGCTTCACAGTTGGAAGACTTTCTGAAGAAAAGCTGAGTGAAAAATCTTTATACAGCCACAACACTTACTGTGTGCCTCTGATTTTTTTTTTTTTTCTTGGCCCTGTCCCACCTCCCGGGATTCTCCTAATGGTGCCTTTTTATCGCACGTGAAAAGAATTCTCTCCGGGGCCTTTTGATACCTCCTGGATGCTTGGTGGGGGCATTTTTTTTTTTCATTTGCATGTGGCTGATCACCATTTTCTTCCAGGGAAAGGATATATCTGCCTTCTCCAAAAAGATGAAAACTAGTTACTGGGCATCCTTAAAGATGAACTGGAAAGTGTGGACCCCCGTCCAGGTTATTAACTTCACTTACGTCCCTTTGCAGGTAAGCACTTCCCTTTCCCCCCCCTCCCACCCCCATTTCATTCCCACGGATTACTTAATTGGGGGGGTGTAGGACGGAAGGGCAGAAGGCTACACGACGAGTCCACTTTCACCGGCTAAGCCGGTCGTCGTGACAAAGCACCAGGTTTCATGAGGTCTTGGATGGGAGACCACAAGGTAACCGCAGGGCTGTGGGCCAGACTGGGTAGGCAGGAGTCGCCCCCTAAGAAGGGCAAACCACTTCTGCCCCCTGTGGCTGGGAAATTGAGGGACGCGCCTTCGAGAGTTGAGCTTCCCACAAGGCAGTCTTTCCATTACGCGGTTTGAGGACAAGAATCTTTTATGCCGGGGGTCTTTAAACTCTGGCCCTTTTTTTAAAAAAAAATTTTTTTTAATAACAAATTGTATTGGTTTTCCAGTTTTACATTTTAAGTATTTGGAAAGCAAATTTTTATTTTTTTTATTTTGTTTTAATTGAAAATTTTTATTTTTTAAGATACAAACATTATAAAAATACAATAAAATTTTAAAGTAAAATAAATTCATAAGGCAACCATTGTCTATACTACCTTTACCCCCCCCCCTTACCCTCCCTCCCACCCCCAACCCCCCTCCCTTCACTTCCCAGAGCAGAATACAGGGTTAATAATAATAAAATTTATAATAATAAAAAAAGAAAAGAAAAAAAAAGAAAAGAAAAAAAATATCACAATTAACCTTTAACTCCATAACCTATAAAACAATTCTCTATAATATTTAACATTCATTCATAAAATAAATGAAACTTTTTAATTCCATACTTTTTCTGAATATAATCTATCCATCTTCTCCGTACAATAATATATCTTTCTTGTGTATGATCCTTTAAATAAGCAGAATTTTTTGCCATTTCTGCAAAACTAGATACTTTAAATATCCATTCTTCTAAAGTAGGCAAAGAATCTTTCTTCCAGTAGCAAATATTTATTTTTTATACCGCTGAGTCCTGTCCTCCTCTCTCTGTTACTGGTGGCCTTTTCTTCTCTCGCAAGTTCCAGGTGCTCTTCGGAAACCTCGTGGCCATGCTGTGGTTCGCCTACTTGGCGTCCGTCAAGAAGAGATGAAGGAAAAGCCGCCGGTCCAGCCCATCGGAGGAGATGGCCGTGGTTTCGATCCTGAGGTGGTGGAAGGATGGAGCAGAGGAAGGTGGCTGGGAAGCCCAGTTGGCCACTCCCATCCTTTGAAAGTTGCCCTTTGGCTTTCATCCCCATATCTGTGGCAAAGGGACTTCTCTTGTTGCCCTCCGCCCCCACGCCCCCCTAATAGCCATGACTAAGAAGGCCATTTTGTGCTCTCTCTTTTTTTTTCTCCAGATCTTTTCCAGAGGCAATTGCTGGAAAGATTTTTGTGCCTTTTCTCACACAGGCGCTTAATGGTAGTGGTGGATCTGTGGGCAGGGATCAGAACGGGCCGTAAATATATCCGTGCACAGTTTTTCTGAGCAATAAACGTAACGAGAAGAGTCTTTTGAATATTTTTTTTTAAAAAAACCCTACAAAACGATTGTGTTGTTATTTTTTTTTTTTAATTTAATTTTATTCTTTTGCATTCGCGTTTTCTGTTGAGCCAGGGACAAGTCTGCTATATCTTCAGCTTCTTTCGCTTCGCTGGCATCCTGCTATAAAATGCAGGGGAGAGGGGGGAAGGAATGGGGGGGGGGAAAGCAAAGTTGGGTGTGGAAAGAGGAAGACAAACGGAGGGAGGGAAGCTGATGGGAACCAGAGATGCCGAACTGGAATACGCCGGCTGCCAAAGACACCTGTCCTGGGAACAGAACGCGAAGCAGTAAAACGGTTCCCCAAAAAACGGCATATGGAAATATTCCAAGAGTTCTGTCTTCTTAAGATGCAAAGTGGGGTGGGTCCTTACACTCCAATCCTTCCAAGATGCAAACCAGGCAGTTCTCTGCTTCGGACTGCAGCCTTTTCTAGAAACATCACTGGGGGTTGGACCGGCAAGCTAGGAGCGAGGGGGTTAATTGGCCTGAATGTCCCCTTGCAACATTTTACACAAAGAGAACCGGCACCATATGCCGTGGATTCGCAGCCCTAATCAGCTTTAGCTTTAGCCGGAAATCTTTGGGTTTGTTATACATAAGAAGCTCTTGATGGCTAAGAACACGCCGTGAGTCCAAATGGAGCACATAAGATAAGCCTTAAAGATTTGAAGGATGCTAGCAGCAGCAGCAGCTGTGCTGCCCAGACCTCTTAGTTACAGTAGTGGCCAAAATGGTGGAAACCTTTTGGGAAAAATGTACAGTAGAAATGCCACTTTCGGTTAAGTTTCCACCCTTTTTTCTTCTAATTTCTTTATAACTGTAGCCTATTCTAATTTCTATTCTATTCTATTCTTTTTCTATTCTTTTTCTATAGTTCTATTCTAATTTCTATTCTATTCTATTCTATTCTATTCTATTCTATTCTATTCTATTCTTTTTCTATTCTTTTTCTATAATTCTATTCTAATTTCTATTCTAATTTCTATTCTATTCTATTCTATTCTTTTTCTATTCTTTTTCTATAATTCTATTCTATTCTATTCTATTCTATTCTATTCTATTCTATTCTATTCTATTCTATTCTATTCTATTCTATTCTATTCTTAGGAAGAGGTTTTGAAGCTGGTCCTTACAGCTGCCTAAGATCCTGTTGGTTCACCCTGGTGCATTTCCCAAGGTCCACCACTAGAGGGCGAGCTAGTTACACACCAAATGCAGTAGAAAGAACCATTTCTCCATCTCCCTGATGGAGAAATGACAAGGACTGGAAGTTTTGTCTTTCTTGCAAACGGGGAGCTTTGAAAAGGAGTCTGCAGTCTCCATCATTTCTCCATCCGGGCAAAGAGTGTATCTGCCTTGGGAAGCCCTATAAGCCTTTGCGGCTGCGGGCAAGCAGATGGGGGGGGGGGGAGCGGCCAGCCAGCTGCAAAATAAAATATCCCTCCAAAATAAGGCCTAATGCAGATCCTTCTTCTGGGATACTTTTAAACTTCGTTTTCTGGCCTACTATCCTGAAAGATTTGATACTCCTAAGTATAAACCTGATAGATTTTTCTCTTTCAGTTTGTGTCAAAGCAGACAGTAGCATTTAACCAACATGGTTGATCTTTCGAAAATTGAGCAATGTTTTAGGTTGCAAACTTACACACAGGATTACTCATCACATTTGCAGATGATGCCAAGTTTGGGGGGGGGGGAAATAACCAACACTTTAGATTTAGAAGATAGGCTCAAAATCCAGAAGAATCGTGACAGATTTGAACACTTGGCCCTATCCAACAAAAAGCAATTCGGTGGTGAAAAAAGTAAGGCAAGAAAAAAATAAATGCACAGGTATAGAATAGGTAATACCTGGCTCATTAGCAGTAACTGTGAAAGGGATTTAGGAATCCCAGGTGTGGAGAAAACAGCCCTTGGAAGTGTCAATAAAATAAATTGGTTTTTAGGCTTTGAGGAGCAATTAGGCCAAGAGGCTGTCCAAGGCCCATAGATATTTCTTTCCTTGCATTGCAACTTTTTTCATTCATTAGCAATTTTTTTTTTTCTAAGTGCTTGGTGATCCACCCATGAAGCCTCCAAGCTGCAATTATTATTTTATTACCAGTAGCTCCTGGAGTTTGTTGGGAGTCTCTGAGATGAAAGGCACCCTTTAATGACAGTCGTTTCCCATAAAAGAGACGAATAGGCTGGAAATGAGTGAGTGACAGCTTTAATACCCTATCGATCAAGCCATTTAAGCACTTTTCCCACCAGGGTTACAATAAAAAAAAAGGGGGAAGCTTTACTTTGCAGTTGAGATGCAACCCTATCTTTTAAACTTTAAAGAAAATATCTGGTGGGAGAAAAAGAATCAATTTAATAATAATAATAGAGTTGGAAGGGACCTTGGAGGTCATCGAGTCCAACCCCCTGCTCAGGCAGGAACCCTACACCATTTTGGACAAATGGCTGTCCAGTCTCTTCTTAAAAACTTCCAGTGTTGGAGCATTCACCGCTTCTGGAGGCAGGTTGTTCCACTGGTTAATTGTTCTCACTGTCAGGAAGTTTCTCCTTAGTTCCAGGTTGCTTCTCTCCTTGATTGGTTTCCATCTGTTGCTTCTTGTCCTGCCCTCAGGTGCTTTGGAAAAGAGTTTGACTCCGTCTTCTTTGGGGCAGCCCCTGAAGTATTGGAAGGCTGCTATCATGTCCCCCCTCGTCCTTCTCTTTGTTAAACTAGACATACCCAATTCTAGCAACCGTTCCTTATATGCTTTAGCCTCCAGTCCCCTAATCATCTTTGTTGCTCTTCTCTGCACTCTTTCTAGAGTCTCAGCAAGATGTGTTTTGAGCGGCTTGAAAATTTTGCAGAGCACCTTGAAGGAAGGAAGGAAGGAAGGAAGGAAGGAAGGAAGGAAGGAAGGAAGGAAGGAAGGAAGGAAGGAGAATTCAAGTTGCAATCGCCAGTGGCAAAAATTGCCAGACCTCAAAAACTGACAAGAGCACTAACATGTTGGCAGAGACTTTTCTAGAGGAAAGAGAAAAGAATGAGAACCAGCAGATCAAACCCAGTGAGAATCTGTTTTTTTTTTGGGGGGGGGGGACAAATACCTGATTGTTAGAAGGTGCTGAAGGGCTGATTCCCAGAATATGGAATAATCGACCAGCCAGGGAACCCAGAAGGAACAAGCAGGCTTAGCATTTGAATTTCTAAGAGGGACCTGCTTCAGGAAGGTTCTAGAAGCAATCCAGCCACAAGTTGGTTAAAGTTCCCCAGTACAAGGTTCATACTGCTGGCAGATGTTATCTCAGAACTATTATACCATATTTTTAAAAATCCTGGAATAGCCAGGAATTGTCTGAGGATTGGAAAAGAGCTGGTGTGGTTCCCATCTTCAGAAAAGGAATAGAATAGTATAGAATAGAATAGAATAGAATGTAGAATAGAATAGAATGTAGAATAGAATAGAATAGCGTAGCGTAGCGTAGAGTAGAGTAGAGCAGAGCAGAGCAGAGCAGAGCAGAGTAGAACAGAACAGAACAGAACAGAACAAAATAGAATAGAATACACAAATTGTAGAATAGAATAGAACAGAATAGAATAGAATGGAATGGAATGGAGTGGAGTGGAGTGGAGTGGAGTAGAGTAGAGTGGAGTGGAGTAGAGTAGAGTAGAACAGAACAAAATAGAATAGAATACACAAATTGTAGAACAGAACAGAACGGAACGGAACGGAACCGGGGTAGAGTAGAGTAGAGTAGAGTAGAGTAGAGTAGAGTAGAACAGAACAAAATAGAATAGAATACACAAATTGTAGAATGGAATGGAATGAAATGGAATAGAACAGAACAGAACAGAACAGAACAGAAAAGAACAGAATAGAATAGAATAGAACAGAAGCTGAAAGGGACCTTGGAGGTCTTCTAGTCCAGCCCCCTGCGCAAGCAGGAAAAAAAACAGACCCAGTAAACTACAGACCAACCAGGCTAATATCAGCATCTGGGAAGATCCTGAAAAAGATAATCAAAAAACAGATCTGCAAACATCTAGAATCAAATAAAGTTATAACTAGTAACCAGCATGGGTTTGTTAAAAACAGCTCATGCCAAACCAATCTTTTTTCATTTTTAGACAAAGTGACTAAATTAGTAGACCAGCAAAAGGCTGTGGACATAGTATACTTAGACTTCAGCAAAGCATTTGACAAAGTAGACCACAACCTGCTTCCTAATAAGCTGGAAAAAATGTGGAATAGGCAGCATCTTAAAAATTAGTCTTTCGCTCCCTCTTGTGGCTAGTGTTGAAGTAAAATTTATATGAAAACAGGGTCACCTATGTACAGTATGTAATCTATAGGTAAATAAACAAATGAAAGAAAAAAATCCCAGCTGAAAAGAAAAATGAGATCTCACTTTGCAGTTAATGTAAAATATTGTAGAAAAATAGTTGCAATAATACTGAAGAGGTGTCTTCTTTCCTTTAACAGTTTTGTAGCCTTTAATTGTTTTTTTTATAAAGTCCAACAATTAAAAAAAAAGGTTTATATTTAAAAATATTTTAAAATAAGAATCTTTCCACTAAATAAATAGCAAGAACATTTCTCACGGACATTTGAAACTATTTCTCCAATTTCTATTTCATCAGATTGAATTATTGGTAGAAAAAATGCAGGATAATCTTTTCCTGCTTGGAATAAGTTGCTTTGGAAGGAAACATGCTATTTTTTTTCTGATAAAAAGAAAAGAAAGAAAAATCTCCGATCTGAATCTGATTTGAACTACGGTGGTCCCCATGGAACTGTTAAGGAAACATTAATAACCATGATCTTCCTTAAATTAACAGCTAAATTAAACCCTAAACCCCTTAAATTAAGCCTAAAATCAAGCAAAATTGAACGGCAATAAAATAAATGAAACTGTAAGTTCTATGACTCCTGTAAATCCATTTAAATGGCTGTTACATTTTACTGTGGGGGGAATGCATGAGGAAT